ACCCTCTGGTCCTGGTTCCCCCGGGACTCCAACCCAGAACCCTCTGGCTGTGAGGCCATGGTTCTAACCCCTATCTCAAATATTCCATATTTAAATTATTTTTTCATGTCCTGGCATGTTAGAGCTGTAAAGATACTGCGCCCAATCCTGATCCACCAGTTAACTGTGTAACCCAAGATCCTGATCAAAACCCCAGAAATCCAAGGCACTGGGCTGGGTTAGGAAAAAAAAGAAAAAAACATCAGAGTAGTCATTGAGTCAGCAATGCTTCTCCAGCCACAACACCTCCGAGGACAAAAGAAACAAAGAATGAACATTTCAAGTCCATTTCTGGCCCTAAATTGGGATGTGGTGCTTGGAAAAGGTCTGTACAGGAATCAGTCAGCAGATGTCAGCAGGTTATGGAGATATTTGTACACAGGCCTTTCCAACTCGTGTCATAATCATGAGATCATGTCAACACACTCCAGAAAAAGGAGTATCATCACAATTAAAACTGGATAAAATTATGTCTTTTACCTTTTAATGCAGGGACTGAGTTTTGATCCACTCACCAAAAACGGAGCACGAGGGGGAAACCAACTGAGAAAACAGCTAAATAAATGCCTTCGTTACAACTCTAAATGTCTATAAAGGGGCTGAAAATCAAAAAGGTTTTATAAACCACCAGCTCCAGGTCATTAGCGGCTCCCACTGGCTGGAACACACCACATTGGATACGCTTCATCTCTGAGAAAAAAACTAGGAATAAAAGCACAATTCCCCAGACAAAATTTTAGTCATCAAAGTGAAACCAAACCAGTTCATCCACCTGGTCCGTTATCCACCTTTTTCTACCCGTTTTACCCATCTCAGCACCAAGCATTAGATGGGACTTTTTCCCGTTAGAGGGTAGTCTTACGTTTGGAAGGAGATCTGGATACAAATCGACATCCTGATGTAAGCCTGGAAGGAAAGAGGTCTTAGTCTGTTTCACTGCTGGTGACTAGTAGATAATGAGCTTAAACAACCCAGTGAGCCTCCAGCTACCAGCCTCAGGCCTGGGGGGGGGGGGCTGATCTCTAAAGATGTCCTTAAGACAAGCCTAAAGGGTCACAAAGGCAAGGTGGCAATCACAGAAACTACTGCAAGACTAAATAACTCAATCATATCAGGCTAAAGATGCATGATGAATTTCACATAAGAATAAAGATGGTGACTTTATGTTATCCATAACTGAAATAATAAGTGGAGTTGCACCTCCTCATAATAAATTATTTGCTATGATAACCCACTATTTCAGCTTGAAAAGTCACCAAATTATGAGGTGGTTTTCTAGAAATACAAAAAGAGCAAGCAAACTGTTCTTTTTTCTTTGTCTTTTGAGATTAAATGCGTTTGTACTAGCGACGCATTCTGGCTCATGTGGGCTTTAAACGGTCCCCAGAATACAAGTGTAAATGTCTATATCGTAGTATACAACTCTAAACATCATATTGAAACGTTAAAGCACGGTGTCCTTTTGTTTTTCTTATCGATCTTATCAAATTAGCATTTTGCTCTGGATGCAGAGATACACTTCAAATGTCCAAGCAGTGAAGAAACCAAGAGTCCGTGGTGGTTTTCCTCAAGGCCGAACAGCAAATTGAATTTCCAGAGTTTTTAGTCCCGTGTTGTTGTGGGTGTCACGCTGACAGTGGCGTTATAGTCCCAACTTGTCGTGTTTTTGTGACGGAATTTGGCGTGACGTTCTCAGAATCAGGTAGCTAGCATGCTGCTAGCTAACCGTTGCGGCTAACGGTCGCCGGTTGGCACGGTTGACACACCCCGAATACCGACACCCACTCCCGGCTACTCACTTCCTTCTTGTCCTGGAGACACTCCAGCACCGCCAGGTTGTTGTTCCAGGAGTGTTTGGGGCAGAGCCGGCTGAGGTCCTCCCTGCACACCGCCTCCTCAGCCAACTTCCAGCCGGTAGAGCGTCTCCGGGCCAGAGAGGCCCCGGGTCCCTGGTTCCTCTCCGGGACCACCGGGTTGTTGGCCGCCACCGCCGGTCCCGGGCCTCCGGCGGGATTCTGGAGGCTTTCCGCATTGGCGGCGAGTTTGGCGACGACGCTGTTTTCTCCTCGAATTGGAAGCACCGGCGATAAAACGCACATCAGTAGCAGGAGCAGAGGAACACGTATACAGTCCGCCATCTTCACAGAGTCACTAAGCCTGCTGCTGCGTTCAGGGGCGTCCGGGAATTATGGGAACCGGGAGTACTTGGTTACGTTTTGCGGTCTTACTCTGACTCATCCAAACAGTCACCCAGAAAGTGGGTTCCTAATTCTCCCTGGTTTGATGGTATAGCGGTATAATCAAACTATTACATTGATTAAGTTAAACTACGAATATTACTTTATGCACTGATATATTTTAGACTCCTGCAGGGAAAGTTTATCATAACAAGTTTGTGTTTTGGGAGGGCAATACACGTCCAATAAACATTTCTATAATATAACTTTTTAATCCTGCCAGTTTGTACTTAAATAGTTGGAAAAAATACAATTTAATAGGAAATATTTTCATGTTTGGTCCCATTTATGCACAGATGAACAGAGCTCCTGATGCTGTGTTCAAGGGAGTGAAAGAGCACATGCATGAGTCTCTGGACACACAAAAAAAGAGATTATTTCTATGTTGCACATCAGATCTAGATGTGTGCATTATATAATGACAGAAAGATATAAATTATTATCATTTTCACCTCATTCTTTAAGCGCATAAGTCTTTGATTTGTCACATTTCAATTTGAATGCATATTTAGTTTTATCTTACTTAATCTTAATTAATCGTTTTTTATATATGGTTTGTTTTCAATTATGCCGTGTCACGTATTGTGTGACGATGCTTTCAAATTAAACACTTTATTAGCATAGTTACATTTGAGCCTTTTCTCAATGTTGAATAAACGGAACCAAACACATTTTAGAATTAGCTCTTAAGAAAAGGCCTCTTAAATCTGGCCTACTCGAAACTCAAAAAGTTAAATGAGAACAAATTAGCTCCATTCTTTAGTTGATGATGGAATTTGTGTGGTATTCAAGTCCTCTGTGATCTGATTTGGGAATGAACGAGCATACCCTGAATGCAGCATCTACTTCTGTTATGCTGCTGACCAAATATAATTAGAGCTTGAATTATCCAACCAGTCAACATAGTGATTATGTATATAAGGTTATGTTTTTCAAACTTTAGTAAATTGAATGTGAACTGCCTCCGTCATTGTACATTCACCTTTTTTTATCCAATGAAAAACCTGTAAAAGACCATTCAATTCAAAATAAATCACAATTTTATTAACTTTGAAGTTGTACACAGTTGGTAGCAAATATACATATATACAACCTTTAAAAGACAAAAAAAGTAACATTTACAATAGTCGACTTTGGCACTTAATGTTCCATTCGGAGTGAAAAGTACAGGTCTTTCTTAAGACGATGAAAATGAGCCAGAGAGGGAAACGCAGCTGTTTAACTGGGACCGGGAGTCGGACTGAATTAAAAAACTCCAAGTATGGAGTTTTGATTTTCATGAGGAATTGAAATGTGGTCAATTCAAGGCCTCTGAGCTGGTGGTCCTTTCATTTAAACGGGGCGGTCATAAACAATCTGAAGAAGTTTCTAACGTCTCTGGATCGTTTCCAGATGGATGTTTGCACGTTCCAGTTAGCTTTTTTCCACTTCAAGTTTGATCGCTGGCTTCTGGCACTTCAAGAAAAATAACATGCAAAAATAGAGAATAATAAATCTGGGTCTGGGTCAGGGCGGCCAGTGGAACTCACCAGGTTCATTATCAGTTATGTTTGTGGTGATGCTGCTATTTTATGAGGTGGATTTCAGCATGATTATACTTCTTAGCTACAAAAAAACAAGTTTAGGAATATTCAGAGAGCCTGGACTGAGAGCTTCCTGTTTAAAACTAGTTTAACAACCAAGTTTCAAATCAGAAAATACCTTTTTTTTTCAGCCTACCTGTGCTGTGGTGGGAGGGATGCTGCTATAAAATGTGACAAGTGATATGTAAAAACCCTGCTTGGGGATAAATCAGTGTTAAGAGTCAAATCAAAGTTAAATAATAAGGTCCAGATGACTATTACATTCCAGCTAAAAAAACAAAGACAAAACCTTTTGGTCTGAAATAGAAAATGACAGTTCGTAGAGCCATAACCATTAAATGAAAAGACAATCAGAAGGCAGAAAGAGGACATCTGTCCATTTTCATGATGTAAAGACTGAGATTTGACCAACTTTTGACATAGGCTATGTAAGAATGACCTGAGTCCCAACACAAAGCTGCCCCAGAACCAGAAAAAAAACACAAACACCTGAAAGATGAGCAAAATAAAATGAGGCAAATCAAAAAAATAAAAAAGGTAAAAGAAAAGTTTCCTCAAGTCCATCACTCCCTGGGTTTGTTTGTTTTTTTCTTCCTCTGTGTGAATGTTTAGCAGCATGTACATGTCCACGTTTTACCCAGAATGCATCCTGCCTTTGCTTTGTGCTCTGGGACTCCGGTTCACTCCCATCTGTAGAGCTTCAGCATCTTCTCCGTGAGCGCGGCCAGAAAGTGCTCGCCGTTCACCGAGAAGGGTTTGATGTCCAGCACCGGCAGGTCGGCCGGAAGCTTCTGGAGCACCGAGCTGCTGCCTGCATCCCACACCTAGGGGGCGCCATACCGGGAAGAAAGGCAGCAGGAGAAGAAGGAAGGAGGGAGAGTCAGACACTGGGGTTGTCAAAAGTATCGATACTCAAAAAAGTATTTATACGAAAACGTTGTATTTGGATACGATACTCATTTTCAAAAGCATTTTCAAAAGGGGGGGTTGGGCAACATGTACGTCTGGATGGATATCCAACTTCACCCTCATCCAAGTCGGCCATTTTGATTAGGTCACCAATAGGAAGATCCCAGGCAAGAAAATCTTAATTGCTTCATGGCAATATAGACATTCATTTAAAAATAGTTAAATTAATCTCGCCAACACTGAATTCAACTCTATACATAATATCATGTTAAAATAGTGGATGTTAAATAGGTTTGTACAATAAGTACAAACAAGTTTAACGAAAAAATATTCATTTCTCACAATTATGAAGGGTGGAGGGCTAGGGTTAGGGTTAGGGTTAGGGTCATTAATGTGGGCCATGATAACATCAGTAACAGGTCAGTTTGAAACCAAAGACACTAACCTGCCAAAATTAAGTTACATTTTGGTGTCTTTGTTTTTATCCTTGTGGTATCGAAAATGGTATCGAGTATAGGATATTTTTCTGAGTATCGGTATCGAGTTCAAAATTTTAGTATCGTGAAAACCCTATCAGAAACATGAACCCACAGCAAGCCGAGACAGTTCCGAAAATCCTTCAGAACTTAATGATCTTTTACATCTGTCACCCAAATACATCACCAGAAATCATTCCTCATGTGGTCATCAATTTCTACAACTCCTCCCTCAGAGAGTCAGACACCCCCCCTTTGTAAATTATTACTCATTTATTGGCATTATTATTATCACTTATTTTAGATCTATGTATATACATTGTTACATATGTATATATTTATTTATATTTGGTGTGGAATTTTCTATGTACAGTATGTATATGTTGTTGTATTTCTGGAGTTAGTAACAAAAATTATTTATTATTATTATTAAAGTGTTTCTGATTCTGATTCTAAAAACAAACAAGCTGGCAGGAGCAGGTTTGCATATTTTCGCTCTTTAAAACACAGGAATAATAACGATAACAATAATAAGGATAGCAGTTTTATCTGTAATTCTATCAGTAAGTTTTATCTGTATAACTGTAAGGTCCAGAAAGTGTAAACAAAAAAGTGCTCCACAAAACCTGGTTGAAAATGAGACATCTGATTGGCTCATTTTGGGGCGCTCACCATGGTGGAGTTGGAGGCCTCGTCCCCGGCACAGACCAGCATCCCGGCTCCGTCGGGGCTCTTGAAGACGGCGTTCTTGGTGAGCAGCTTGCAGGAGGAGCCGGCGCTGAAGGTCTGCACGGGCGAGCAGGAGCAGCCGGGCAGCTGGCCGGAGTCCTGCTGGGGGCTCCGGTCCAGAGCCATCAGCACGCAGCGCAGAGACGGGTGGGAGCGGCCTGCAGGAACAGAACCGTTTCCATCAGGAAGCTCAATCAAGGAAAATAAAGGGTGTTTACCGATAACATAGTATTGACATAACACAAAATGATAAGTTTCCAATTAGCCAAGAGGAAAGAAATGGTTGTTGTTCCAACAGGGACACCTAATAATTGTGACACGCTTTGGTCAAAATCCCATAAGGATGAAGCCCAATAGCAGTTCAGTCCCCCTGCCTAACCCTAACCCTAACCCTAACCCTGCCAAAACAGCCCCGTTCAGAGCGCTCGCTTTGGAGTGCCTGTCTCTTTAAATGCAAATGAGACACAGGCAATCCACCCACTTCTTCAGGGAGGTGTGCCCACGTCGGCACGCTAACGCTACCATGCTAACGCTACCATGCTAACGCTACCATGCTAACGCTCACGCTACGATGCTAACGCTCACGCTACCACGTCTCCACAGATAGGGGAGTAAGCTGAGGGGGGGGGGCAACATGCAGGTGAAAGGCTGGAATATTATAATGAGCTAGAGCTAATGACGTCAGAAACTACCCACTCCTGAAACCTCCTGATTTATCTCCTGGATTCAGACTGAGGCAGCCCACAAAAACATGACCGAGTCATTTTTTTCCACACTTTGCCTGCTGATAGGCCCTCCACAGTCCCAAATATACATCATTAAATGATTAAAAACTTGGTTTTGCATAATATGTCCCCTTCAAACAGTTAAGCCTCTTCTTCACGTGAACCCGCCTCAAAAGATGGCCACACCAAACAAAGGGGTTCATTATTTCTGTGATCAGTGCTGTAAATGCCTAATACAGTCCAACAGTGAGGTGACTTTACTCTTTTACTTTTTCATTTTCCTCCACTGTTGCGTTTTGACTTTAATAAAGTCTTGAGTAGGGTTGTCACGATACTAAAATTTTCAACTCGATACCGATACTCAGGAAAATACTCGATACTCGATACCATTTTCGATACCACAAGGATAAAAACAAAGACCCCAAAATGTAACTGAATTGTGTCTTTCCTTTCAAACTGACCTGTTACTAATGTTATCGTGACTGGTGGCCCTCATTAATGACCCTAACCCACATTAATGACTAACCCTAACCCTGACCCTAACCCTGACCCTCCACCCTTCATAATTGTGAGAAATAAATATTTTTTGGTTAAACTTGTTTGGACTTATTGTACAAACCTATTTAATATACACTATTTTAACATAATATGTTTATAGTTTAATTAAGTGTTTGAAATATTCATTTCACTATTTTTAAATTAATGTCTATATTGCCATGAAGCAATTAGGATTTTCCTGCCTGGGATCTTCCTATTGGTGACCTAATCAAAATGGCCGATTGGATGTGGGCGGAGTTGGATACGTACTTGATTAATGGTAGCATGTTACTATTAGCCATTAGCCGCAGCTAGCAAGGCTAACGTCTTGTTAATGATCATAAACAACGTATATAAATACATAAATAAATCAGAGAGAAGGGGTCGGTGGTATCGATACTTTTGAAAATGAGTATCGTATCCGGATACAACATTTTAGTATCGATACTTATTCGACAACCCTAGTCTTGAGTCTTACCCGGTCTGTAGGTGACCAGGCAGTGTCTGCTCTCCGGCTCCACCTGGATGTCCGTGCAGCCCCCGTTCTCCAGCGGGAGGAAGTGCGGCCTGTAGGTGGTTTCGTTCACCTGCTCCCAGAAGTACCCCCCCTCCAGGGACCCGGCGATGAGCCCCGCACAGGGGAAGGAGCTGGAGGCCGCGCGCGGGACGTAGCAGAGGGACGCCACCGGACATCTGGACACACAGTTAAACACAAGTACGCGGTCATTCAATTAAATTCAGTTTTATTTATATAGCGCCACATCACAACAACAGTTGTCTCACAGCGCTTTCCAAACAGAGCAGCTCAGACTCCACTCTGAAGTGAATTACAGAAACCCAACAATTCTCAAAGATGAGAGGAGGAGCTGAAATATTAGCTTTAGTACATTTAAAGGAATGGAAGTTGTTGGTATAAGGCATATTGCTATTTATCCTTAAATTAAACTTAATTACAGAAACCCAACAATTCCCACCATGAGCAAGCACTAGGCGACACAGGCAAGGAAAAACTTCCTTTTAACAGGCAAAAACCTCAAGCAGAACTTACTGACTTCTTTATCTATTTATTTACTTTAATTTATTTCTTTAACCCCTTGTGTTCAGCATTATGGCAACAGAATTGTAATCCAAGTGCTCTGCCCGACATTTTGTGTTTGCCAAGGGAGGCCTGTCAGGGTGAGAAGCCTCCCTTAATCATCCAATACTGCTTTATTATTTATTTAAGATGTATTTTTGTTACAGAAGTAAGAGGGTTAATGCCAAACCTGACCGGGGGACAGGAAAAGAGAAAAAAAGAAAGAAAAAAAAGGAGAAAAAAAGATTAAATAAAATAGAATTTAAAAAGTCTATTACTGAATACAAAAAAAAATAAAAACAAAAAAAAAAAAAAAAAAAAAAAAAAAAAGATTCAATAAAATCAAATTTAAAAAGTCTATTACTGACTTGTAATAGAATGCATCCTCAAATCACCAAAAAAAGAGAAAAAAAAGAAAGAAAAAAAGGGGGGGAAAAGGAAATAGAGATTAAATAAAATCTAATTTAAAAAGTCTATTACTGACTTGTAATAGAAACGTATCCTCAGATCACCTGAGCAGCTACTCACAAAAACATCAGAACTTCACGTGTGTGTGTCTGTGTGTGTGTGTGTGTGTGTGAGTGTGTGTGTGTGGATGAATGTGAGAGTGAGTGAGTGAGTGATTGAGTGGGTGAGTGAGTGGGTGAGTGGATGAGTGTGAGAGTGGGTGAGTGGATGAGTGTGAGAGTGTGTGAGTGGGTGAGTGAGTGTGTGAGTGGGTGTGTATATGAGTGAGTGCGTGTGAATGTGTGTGTGTGTGCGTGTGTGTGCGTGTGTGTGTGTGTGTGTGTGTGAGTGGGTGAGTGTGTGAATGAAAGAGTGAGTGAGTGAGTGTGTGTGTAAGTGGGTGAGTGACTGACTGACTGACTGACTGAGTGGGTGAGTGAGTGAGTGTGTGTGTGAATGTGTGAGTGAGTGAGTGTGAATGTGTGAGTGGGTGAGTGGATAATTGTGAATGTTTGAGTGAGTGAGAGTATTTGTGTGTGAGTGTGTGTGAGTGGATGAGTGTGAGTGATTGTGTGTGAGTGTGTGAGAGTGATTGTGTGTGAGTGTGTGAGAGTGGATGAGTGTGAGTATGTGTGTGTGTATATGTGTGTGTGTGTGTGT